GGCTGGGGTTCGAACTCACGCAGAAACAGCTGAGGCTAGCCTCGTAGTGCTATGCTCTAACTCAGTGCGCCACCAGGGAGCCCTGATAGATAGGTTCTTCCAAGAAAAAACAGGTGTCCGTGAGCCTCAAAACCTGCTTCCTTTGCTCATGTCAAATTTTTTGTCTCAGCACACGCACTTTGTTGCCAGGTCCCTGACGCGCTCCTGTTCTCTGTGTTGGAACCTTTTATTGGTGCTATTTGCGCCAGTGAAATTCTGTGCTTCATTTCTAATGGCACCATTTTCTCCAGTAATAGTAGGGATAGTTACTCACATTTGAAAATGGCTTTGCAGATTTAACATCTCTTAAGTCCGTGAAGAAGGCGGCTTTGGGGGATGGGAGGGGCAGTGACTAAGGGGACGTAGTACGTCAGCAGTCAGCCAGGGTCTGGGGCGGGGACTTCACAGTGTTGGAGGTTCTGCTGACTGATTTGAATTTTCCTTCTTCCCAGAAATTTTGGATGGTGTGGAACTTGGGGAACCAGCCCATAAGAAAACGGGGACCACAGTGCCAGAATCTATTCATTCTTTCAGTAAGTTCAACTCTGAGGAATTGCACCAATGACTAGCTCATTAAGAAAGTCACAGCTGGGTGGTATCATGAGCGGGTAGTAAGATGAGTTAACAAAACCATCATTGAGCAGCAAAGTTGCGTGAGCTCTTCATTGTCTTCAGAGGTGACATAGAGCAGTCTTGCTCAGTACTCGCAAAGCGAACCCTGGAGAGACACAGTGGCAGCCACTGAACCTGTGGCCCTGTAGCAGTTTCTACTGTCATTTTTCCTGTTGTGTATTTCAGTTGGAGACGGTTTGGTGAAGCCTGAGGCCCTAAATAAGAAAGCTATTCAGATTATTAACAGGGTTCGAGATAAGCTCACTGGTGAGTATGTATATGTGTGTGGTCAAAAGGAACTCAACATCTGAGCATCTGGGAGACTTTCCTTCTTTTTTTTTTTTTTTTTTTTTTTAAAGATCTATGCATACAAGAACTGGACTACAGGCCAGAGGGGTAGGGGATGAGAGGATTCTTGAAAGAGAGTGGGGAGGGGAGCAGAACAGGTGGATTGGCTGAAATCCACTGCTGAGGGGAGCAGCGGGAGACAGGAGAGGTCTGCCTGCCTCACCGTGTGGGTCACTCACTCCCTGGCCAGGGATCGAACTGGAGCTGCCTGCCACCACCAGCGTCAAAGCCCAAAGTCTGAGGGGAGGGCTGCTGAGGGTGGAGCGGTTGGACAACTGGGAGGGCCTCGACATGGCTCTCTTGGAGCTGGAAACGGTCGGTTTCCAGGAAGCCTGAGCAGGCAGTGCCCAGGGTCCATGTGCATCTCACATGCTGCCCTGTGGGAGAACGGACTCCGAAGTGGCAGCTAGCGTGCAGCGTTAGGCGTGAGGGGGAGCTGCTCTGGGCTGTGAAGATTTAAGCTGGGAAGAGGGCCCTGGGTCAACAGGTGCAGCTTAAATGCTTCGTCTCTCCCACCCTAGGTCGGGACTTCTCTCACGATGAAACTCTGGATGTCCCCACACAAGTTGAGCTGCTCATCAAGCAAGCCACATCCCACGAGAACCTGTGCCAGTGCTACATTGGCTGGTAAGCGGCTGTGCCCAGGGCCCTGCTGACGCAGCAGTCAGGGCCCCGCCACCCTGGGCCCCATTACAGGGCTGCAGGACATTTGGGGTGGTCCGTATTCATCATTTCAAATCTTTCTGAAAGTATGTTTTCACTCGAGTGTTCTTTGTTCTAGAAAGCAGAAAATTTTTTCATTTGATGCCTGTTCATAGGGCAAACACAGATAAACTAAAATTATATTTTAAAAAGGTTTGAAAGAGCAGGGACGATGCCCTTCTGGGGGAGGAGAGGAGAGGAATTTCCCCTGTCAACTCAGAGGCGCAGGAAAGGCAAGGGGAGGAAGCCAGAGCAGTGACGGAGGAGATGAGAAGACAGTCATGGCCCTGGATTGCGGCTTCAGGACCAGTGTGGGTCCACTTTGATTAGTTGCCCAAGGCATGCCCAAAGGTAGAAGCTGTGAGAGGGCATGAGAAGTGTCCTTCTGGGACCGCGGCCGCCCACGCTGCACGGATATGATGAGCATGCCCCGCACAAGTAGCAGGGGCACTCAGAGGCCGCACTGACTGGCCAGCCGCTGTCTTTCCGTTTTCAGTTTATCTTCATAAAGCTTTGAAGATGCCCAAATTACTGAAATATTCCCCTTCTCTGTCTTGTTAGGTGTCCTTTCTGGTAACCGGAGGCCCAGACGTGCCCACAGCGTTTCTCTTCAAGTTTTGTACTTTGGTTTATGCTTCCACTAAACTGAAAGCTTGGTCAAAGAGCTCTCCACTTTGTTAAATATTTTGAAATGTAAATGAAAAAAACTACTGCATATTAAAAGTTGGTTCAAACCAACATCCTAGCTGCTGTTGAAGAAGACATTGTCAGAAACACAGGCTTGATTTCGTTCCCAGGACAGTGAACGCCGTAATAATGCCTAAATCAAGCCATTGATTTTGGGGAACAGAAGACATGTAACTTTAGAAATACGGGTTTTGACTTAACTCACAAGAGAACTCACATAAGCGTTTGCTGACAGAAGAGGAGCCAGTTGCTCTTCTCAGCACAGACCCAGCCACTGGCACAGCCCGGAAGCCTCAGATGGTGGGAGAGGCGTGCTGGCGTCTGGACTGTAAGGATGTGGGAGAAGCGACTCCATCACGCTCACCCACCCTGTTACCTCACTGGTCCACAGACACAGCAGCATTTGCAGATGGGCCAAAATGGGTGAAAGTCGTCTTCGGCCTTGAGGCCACAACGTGCGGCATTCTGGGCACACGCGATGGCGTCACGGTGCAGGAGGGTGGCCTTCCGCCATGGTGCCCCCGTGTCTTCAGTGAGGCCTGACGCGTGGCAGATAGACGTGTGGCACGGAGGCGCTGCCACAGAGGGATGATCTCGTCCACGGGGGGACTGAGCAAAAGAAATGCTCAGCGCGGTAAGTCCCAAGTGTGGCCATGTCGAGACACCATGTTGTATCGGAATAAATTTTGTGCCAATAAATGATAGCAGAATTTTAAAAATGTATAAGCATATAGATTTTTATTCATAATTATTAGTTTGTGAAAGAATTCATTACTTCTTGGACATCTGTTAAGCATTCAGTACCGCACAAAACAGCCAGCAGAGGTGTGGTGTGCCCTTCGTGTTCACAGCCCAAAGGTGGCAGGATCGCCTCGGCCACTGCCCACCCACTGCCAGCCTCTACCTGTGCACTAAAACCCCAGACCCTCCAGGCAGGTGGAAGAAAACTGCTGTGGGGCCCCTGCAGCTCAGCCCCGCCCACTGTGCCCCATCACCAGGAATCACTGTCGAAGCCTGGAGCCTCCCTCCAAACTGGCATTTCCTGTGGACAAAATATTTTATCTCCTAACTTCTTGGCTCTCTCACAGGCAAATCATGTCTACCAGAGATAATGAGTACAAAGTATACTTACTTATCCTGTCTGGAAACTAACATATGCCAGCGGAAACTGATTCTGTTTCTGCCTTGTTTTCTTCTCAAATGCCTGTTGGGGGTGGGCAGAGCAGCAGTGGGCAGGGGCCCCTTTGCCACCAGCCTCTCAGTCTTCTCACTTTCATTACCTAGTGAATACTATCACTGAGACTTTTGCTTCAGGTAGCAGGACTAGGGGTACACCACCCTTAATGTCAGGAGAGGCGCCACCAAATCTGCAAATCCCCCCAAGCTGCCTGACAGAGCCCCCCTCCATAACATTTGTGGGCATTTGTTTTTCCCACCGGGTGTAGGCGGAGAGGACGTGTAGGACTGGAGAGCACCGGGGCAAGTCCTCCCGCAGTCCTTAGCCATTGTTAGCCGGAAGTCTCCGTAGTTAGAGCACTTTAGCTAATCAAAGTGAGGCTTCCAACAGAAAACTGTTCCAACACACAAGTTTGAGTTTGTACAAAGAAGTGTGTAGCTGACATCAGACGTGTTATGGTAGGGGCTGCTCTAGTTCTAAGTTGTCTTGCACCTTTGCCCAGCAAAGCAATGCAGGAGTTGGGCTCTTCGAAAGAAAGCACAGTAGAGTCAAAGGCTGGGCACCTGTTTGTTCTGTTGCCTTCATCCGGGTCCTTCGCCCGCAGCGTGGGTGAAGACTGACTTTACCTTGTGCTACCCAGCTTTGCATAGTTGCTTCAGACTTAGATCTTTGTTATGGCCTTGCCCTCCTGTCTGCTGCTCAGAGCCCGAGGGGTCCCTTTCCGGACGCCTTTTGGTATATCGTTCACAATGCTTTTTCCAGTTTACCCATAAAGGTGTGAGAGTGCCTGGAAGAGGGTGTGGGAACCAGGGTGGTTTTTTCCTTTTTAGTTGTGGGAGCTGTCAGCATCAGTGCAATCTGATAAATGAGATGTAGCAAAGAAAAGGACCAAGCCAGGCCCTCCCTGGTGGCACAACTCATTAAAGCACAGCATTAGGAAGCTCGCCACAGAGTTCGACCCCCGGCCAGGGAGTGACCCACAGAGCACAGCAGACCTCTCCTGACCCGCCCGCTGCTCCCCTCAGCAGTGTACTTCGTCGATCTGCCTGTTCTGCCCCCTACTCTGTCTCTGGCGAATCTTCTCATCACCTCTGCCCCTCTGGCCTGTACCCCAGTTCTGTGTGCATAAATAAATCTTCAAAACAAAAGTGGGGGAGGGACCCAGCCAGAGGCAGGAGAAACTGCTGGAGCCGGATCCAGCGGATTGGTGGAGCCAGGGCGGGCTTTAAGTAAGAGGACGGAGATATGCTCCCGGCCCAGCCTAAATCACAAGTGTGCGACAACCTGTGGCTAAGGGAAATGCCAAGTTCCCAGTGGGCGGCTCGGACTGACAGCCGAATCACTCTCCTGACAGTTCCGGGCCCCTCCCGGCGGGCCGTCGCTAGGGCCCTTTGCACATGCGCGCCGCGCGCACGTCGCGTTGGCACAAGACACTCTCGCGAGAAGAGGCCATGCTGGCCGGGAAAATGGCGCCTCCCAGTCCCCGCGAGCCCAAGGTCCCTGCGGCTACGACTGCGGCCAAATCCGACGGGGAGATGGTGCTGCCGGGCTTCCCGGACGCCGACAGCTTCGTGAAGGTAAATTTTCCGGGTCTGGGGGGGCGACGAGGCCGCCGGCTCGGCCTTGAGCGGGCCCCGAGCGGGGGTCGGGCGGCCGCCGCCCGCGTTGGGCCCGCGTCTCGTTTAACTCGGGGATGGCGCTTCGCACGCGTCACTGAGGAACCTGTGGAGAGCCGACTCCGTGTTTTGGGACGGGCTTGTCAGTGCTGTCGCCAGCCCTAACCACCTGGTCCTCGCCCATGACCGAGCCGCCCTACCCACTCTTCGGAGGGGCCGCTGGGCTGTTGTCCTGCGGCGCCTGATCTCCCGCCCCTTCGATGGCCCTTCGCCCCGCTGAGGCCCCGTCCCCCAGAACCCAACCCTGAGTTTAAAGTCACCTGTGAGGCCGCTGCCGAGCCTCCCGGCCCGCCCCAGTGCTGTATCACTTCTCGGCCTCCAAGGAACACTGTAGGGAGTTCATTTGAATCGTTTGCATAGTGCTACTTAAATATAAACAAGCATAAAGCTAGGTTTTTAATCACCTCATGTATCACAACGTCAGGAAACGAAAAAGCGTTTCTACATTCGTGTTAACAAACTCTTGGAAGTCCATGCATACCTGCATTAGCAGCTGTATTTTTTATTCATTTGGTTCTGAGTACTGAGGCCAGTGCTGAGGGCCTAATTGTGTAGCTTTCATGCTCACAAGCTACCCTGTATCCCACCATGGCTCAAGCTCCCGCCTCCTCATTTTTTTCCTTAGAAAACATTTATTACAGAACTCACAGCATTGTCTTTTGCCTTCACGGAACCACTTGTCAGTTATCCGTGACAGCCACTTTCGGGTGTCTTGTTAGGGCACAACATTTACACAGAATCACTTGGCACTAACTGATCCATAAAACAAGTTCAGATGTCGGCAGTAGCCATTATAAATTGGTCATTCATAGCTCTAGAATTTCATCCTGTTGTTTATAGATGGCCTTCCAAATGAAAACATAAAAAACATTCCTGTAGAAAACTCATAGATCTGAATAGGAATAAGAATACATATGCCAGGCACTGTCCTAAGTGATTTTATTAGCACATTTAGATTCTCACAACTCCATGACAGGGCCCTCCCTGGTGATGCAGCCACTGCAGCATGAGTTTGATCCCTGGCCGGGGAGGTGACCCACAGGGCACAGCAGACCTCTCCTGTCCTGCCCGCTGCTCCCTCAGCAGTGTATTTCAGTAGATCCGTCTGTTTTACTCTCCACTGTGTCACTAGTGAATCTTCTCACCCCATCCCCGCACCTCTGGCCCACACCCCAGTTCTTGTATGTGTAAATGAATAAATCTTTTTTAAAAAAAAAAAAAAAACTATGACATAGGTACTTTTATTATGCCTGTTTTTCAGAGGATGAAAATAAGGTCCAAATAAATGGCATAACTTAGCTCAAGAGCACAGTTAAAAGGTGTCAGAGCCAAAATTCAAATCCAGACTGTTCTGAATCTTGGTCATATCTGCATGTGTTTTCATTCCTTCTCGCCCCTCTCCAGGAGCGTCAGCTCCAAAACATGGTGTCACTCTCGCCAGTGTTTCTGGGGCCCGAGGTGAGGTGTTCACTGCGTGCCTCTCTGCTGTCCGTGTGAAGTGGCATGTTTTCGGCATCTAGCGCAGTGTATAAAATGTTGACCTTGGGGAAAGAGTTGCCAGATGAATGGGGACTCACGTGTCCAACGTTCCTGTTTTGTGTTTTTGGCAGTTTGCTCTCGGGGCAGTGGTGGCAGTCACCAAGGCGTCTGGGGGCTTGCCACAGTTTGGCGATGAGTATGATTTTTACCGAAGTTTTCCTGGCTTCCAAACATTTTGTGAAACACAGGGAGACAGATTGCTTCAGTGGTAAGTACAGTGGTAAGAAATGAATATAAAGAAGTAAATTTCTTTGCCCTCAAATGTGCTTTTCCATCCCATAGTGTTTGCTGTAATGAGCTGTAAAAAATAAAAAGGAAACAGTGGGTTTTTGATGAGGGAAACGTTGCTTGATAAATTTTGAGTTTAGCTTTTTAAATGTTTTGACAGGTACACCTATAAACAACAGTCTCTTGTGTAATTATGGAGCTTGAAAACCTACATCCATGACGCTCTCACAGCTCACAGTGTTGCCAGTATTAACTTTCTAGCAAGTGTACTTGGACAGGCTATTCTGTTTAGTTGTTCTGTTTAATTGTTGCTTGACAAAATTATGAGAACTGTTGTTGATAGCATTTTAAAACAGAATGCAGAGTAGTTTACTTACATGCTATTCTGTATTTTTCAGAATTTAAAGAATGGTTTGAGATCATTTCTTTTTCCCCTTCAGTTAACAGATGAGGAAAGTGAGCCTTTAGTGAGATTTAGTCAGTTGCCCAAGACCACACAACTAGCAATATTTTTTTTTTTATTAAAAAGTTTATTTTTCCTTTTTCTCCACATCCTCGCCAACATTTGTTGTTGCTAGTTGTTTGAAGATGTGCCATTCTCACTGGGGTGAGGTGGTATCTCATTGTGGT